CTCTGAGATTCATGGACAGATCTTCACACTCCTGAAATGAATCTAATGACCAAACGAATGAATTGTTTCCTGCAAAAGCCCACTCCCCTATTGCTCCTCTTTTATTTCCTATGGGAGGGGCCATTCACCTTCCACCTGTGACTTTACTCCTAAGTCGACCCTGATTTCTCAGTTGTTCTTTTTTTCTGGCAGCTCTGTGCATGTGCACATTGGGAATAGGCTCTAGCTGTTCCTCTGCCTCACTGCTGCCTAGCTCCATAGGCACCTGATCAGAGGCCTTGGCCTCTGACACAGAGCCCTCTTCCGAGCTTTCCCCAGCCTCCAGGATTGGCCCATGCTCCTACCCAACCTCCTCACTGTCTGACTCTGGTGTTCGTTGTTTGTTTATTTGTTTATTGGATTTATATGCTGCCCGCTCTGCTGGCCGCTGGTGGGCCACAACACCTAAATGCAAATGCTGTTGCTAAATAAAGGCTTCAGAAACTCCAGGGGTTCTTTGGCCTCTATCACGTCCTCCTTTTTAAGGACTTTTTAAGCCAGTCTTTTCTCTCTCCATGCCCCCAGCCCCCTTTAGCTGGAAATTCTACTACATTGCTCCTGAGAAAGCTGTGTTTTGGTTCATGCACTTCTCATGGTGGTGGGATCTTGAACAGACCCTCTCTGGATGCCCATGCCTGATGAAAAGAAGTCTCCTGAGTCAGACAGGCTTAACTTCTGTTTCCCAGCCTTGCATTGATTGGTAGAGCAACTGTCTGTTTAGCAGGAATTCTCTCTCTGCTGGAAGAAAGGTGGGGCATCTGATTTCCAATGTAAAATTCACAAAGGGTTGTATATCTTTATCAAAGCTATTGAAAGACCCAGGGGAAGGATTTAATTATGCTTTTCCCTCCCCTTTTTCCCCTCACTAGTTCTCATGTGAAAGTCATTTTTCCCCTTTGGTCAATTAATATCCATGGTTAAGCAAATGGGAATAAGTAGAGAAACCCCAGATACTCAAATAGCTGTTGAGATTTTAGCAGATGTACTTGACTGAAAAATATAGATTCATCTAACCATTTAGAATACAGTAATGAGTATTTTTCAGTACGAAACCCTTCACAGGGCTGCAGCTTTCTTTCCCTTCTATGGGGATGTATATTTTTATGGGCACACTGTACTGCAGAGTCCTTGGTGCTCTCTCAGCTTGGTGGTTTGCTTACAGACATTTCATTTTTTAAAGATGTTAAGCAGATGTTTAACCCTGGATAAACCACCAAACAGAAAACAATATCCTACCTATTCTTTGTAAGGTGGGTAACTTGAAATGGCTGAGTAAATACAAACATATTTTTCAAGTAGACAGTAATTTGAAGTTACAACTGCCAAAGCACCTTAGGGAGATATTGACGTGAGCGAAATTCGAATGGCTTGACACAATGGTCAGATATGGGAGATTCCATTCTATATCCTACAATGAGTGTCTCTGCATTTGCAGAGCGGCAGAGGTAGATGACCTGGCTCACATCCTATTGGATTGTTGCTTGTATAAGGGGGTGAGAGACAGGTACCTTCATCCATATACCAAAAGGACCCATTGGAATCCCCATATCAAAACAACTTATTTTATGTGCAGTCACAAGCGAAAAATGACATTTAACACAGCAGAGTCCTTAAAACAAAATGGTTTGGTTTAGATCTACATATGTGGGACTGATTAGGGTAGATTGCAGGGGTGACACCAAAATATAATTTTACCATATTTTATCTATATCTTAAATTATTGTATTCTGTTCCAATTTCATTTTCAACTGTATTTTATCCCAATTCCATTTTAAATTGTATTTTATCCCAATTTCATTTTAAATTGTATTTTATCCTAATTCCATTTTAAATGGCTTTTATCAAATTTTTGGCAATAATTTGTTTCTGGAACTTTGCACTTTGATATGGCCTAAGGGCTAATCAATAAAGATTCAATGTCCATATCCTAATGAAGGAACTGCCAAGGAGAAAACCACATCCCCACGAAGACTGCATATAAACAGAGCAAATCCCAACTGCACTGATGATGTTACCTAGTTAGGTAACAAATGTCTGCAAGCAAACCGCCAAGCTCAGGAGCATCAAGGACTCCACAGTTCAACCCTGAGCTACAAAGGTTCTCCTCTATTGCACACCTGTTTGTGTGTGTTTGTGTGAAAGATGACTGGTAGGCATTTAGGATGATAGACAATTGATCTTTTTTTTTTTAAAGTTTTTAATTGTTTTAATTTTTTTAAAATAAAAATGTCAAATCAAGGCATGAGCAGTGTGGCACCTGGGCACCACACATTCCAGTACAAATAAGTCAAATTGAACATTATTATACATCAATCAACTTATAAAATTCCCATAACAATACACATGTATATTTGATTACAGTCTATCATTATTCAATTATTCCACCTATTTAGAGCCGAGGTGGCGCAGTGGGTAGAGTGCAGTACTGCAGGCCACTTCAGCTGACTGCTAGTTCGGCAGCTCAGCGGTTCAAATCTCACTGGCTCAGGGTTGACTCAGCCTTCCATCCTTCCGAGGTGGGTGAAATGAGGACCCAGACTGTGGGGGCGATATGCTGACTCTGTAAACCGCTTAGAGAGGGCTGAAAGCCCTATGAAGCGGTATATAAGTCTAACTGCTATTGCTATTTCTCATTATTACTTTCATTTTATCAAATAAAAATGTAATACATTTGATATTCCCTGTATTTCTATCGCTTACTCTAGCTTTTAATCATATTGCCCTATATCAAAAAGCTTTTTCTTTCTTTCCTGTCTAACTTCTAATGGTATCACCTGCCTATAAAAAGAGGGGGGGGAGAGGAATGGAGATGGATATATAAGAGAAGACAGTTTAAATCAAGAATTGAAAACAAGAATCATCCATCCATAATCTCTTGCCTGCTTTATACTTTAGTTGCTATGCTTTAAATAAAAGGGAGTAGAAGGGGAGACAAGTCAAAAGAACAATAAAAAAAGAAAAAAGGATCATCTGATAGACAATTGTCCTAATCTGTTGTTCTTCATTTAAGAAAAACCTATGTAACGCTCCTCAAGTGTTCTAATTTGGAACTTTCTCATCTACCTGTTTTCTTCCACCTACTTTTCTTTTGAAAATATTTTGGTTTGCTTTCATTGACTTCTGTAACTCTTGCCGAGATAGTTCTGATAGAATCCTTTTCCCTCTCATGAGACAAATATATTCAGTAAAAAAATAAAAAAATACAAATGCCAGGTAGGATATCTTCGCTTGCCATGACACAGGTTCTAATGGAAGGAAAATTCTCCCTTGTACTGTGCCGGCAGCGTGAATGAAACAGCTTTCTTTGAAATACTGCTTTTACATTTTGAGAAGGAAAGGAAGGAGACATGAAGGGAGGAAACATGAAGGAAGGAAAGAAGAAAGGGAGGAAAACAGGAAGGGAAGGAGGGAGAGAAAGGTAGAAAGGCAGGAAGGGAAGAGAAGGAAGGAAGGAAGGGGAGAGGAAGGAAGGGGGGAGGAAAACAGGAAGGGAAGAGGGAGGGAGGGAGAGAGGGAGAGAAAGAAACAAGGAAGGAAGGAAGTAGGAAGAGGGGAGGAAAACAGGATGGGAAGGAGGGAGGAAAGTACAAAGGTGGGAAGGGAAGGGAGGAAGGAAGAGAGGGGAGGAGGAAAACAGAAAGGGAGGGAGAGAAAGAAACAAGGAAGGAAGGGGGAAGGAAGGGAAAGGAAACAGGAAGGGAAGGAGGGAGGGAGAGAAAGGTAGAAAGGTGGAAAGGGAAGGGAGGAAGGAGGGGGAGGAAAACAGGATGGAATAGAGGGAGGAAAGTAGAAAGGTGGGGAAAGAAAAGGAGGAAGGAAGAAAGGGAGAGAGGGGAGGAGGAAAACAGGAATGGAAGGAGGGAAGAAGAGAAAGAAACAAGGAAGGAAGGGGAAAGGAAGGGAGAGGAAAACAGGAAGGGAAGGAGGGAGGGAGAGAAAGGTAGAAAGGCAGGAAGGGAAGGGAAGGGAAGGGAGGAAGGAGGGGGAGGAAAACAGGATAGAAAAGAGGGAGGAAAGTAGAAAGGTGGGGAAAGAAAAGGAGGAAGAAAGGGAGAGAGGGGAGGAGGAAAACAGGAATGGAAGGAGGGAGGAAGAGAAAGAAACAAGGAAGGAAGGGGGAAGGAAGGGGGAGGGAACAGAATGGGAAGGATGGAGGGAGAGAAAGGTAGAAAGGCGGGAAGGGAAGGGAGAAAGGAAGGGGGGAGAAAAACAGGAAGAGAAGGAGGGAGGAAAGTAAAAAGGCGGGAAGGGAAGGAAGGCAGGGAGGAAGAGAGGGAGGGAGGAAGGAAGGGTGTAATTACCAGAAACCAAAGGAAACGACGATCCCCTAACCCCCTTTCCCTGGTGGGAGGGAAGAAGGACCGCCAACTTCAGCTCGGGAAGACCGACCGGCAAGCAGGCAGGGAAGCGGCTGCCTCTACCGCGGGGAAAGGCTAGAGAAGGAGCCGCAGTCGTTGCCGTCGCTGCCGTCGCAGGGGCTGGACTAGCCTGCTCAGTCTCCCGTGCGCGGCGGGGCCACTTCGGCGGCTCTTGCGCGCGGAGGCCTGGCGGGGCCGAAGGGGAGGCGAGGGGCGCGCGGCGGCTTCCCCGGGGGCTCTGCCCACTCTCGACCCCCGAACCTCCGAAGCGCGGCAGAGGCGGCGGCTGGCTCGGTAGCCAATCCCGACAGCTAAAGCTGCTCGCCTGCCTCCCCCTCCGCGTGGCTCCCCCCTCTCCCCAATCCCTCCCCCCGCCTCGTCTGCCCCGTGGATCCGCGCAGCTCCGACACAGGCTTCGCCCAGGGAGACGCGCCCGCTCTTCGCCTAGCGGTGGGCGGATGGGCAAGTTTGGGAGGAGCCCCCCACCCCACCCAAGAGACTCATGGAAGAAGACGCCGCGGGGCGACCCTCCCAGACCCCCGCCTGCGCCGCCGCGCCGCCCCCTCCCCAACCCTGGCCTCGGCGCCTGAATTGTGGTGAGAGGGAGGAAGAGGATGATGCGCGCCCCCTTGGTTTTCCTCCCGCCGCGCAAGGGGAGCGGGACCTCCGGATGAGGTAGAAGCCCCGCGTGTCGCTCGCTGAGGTGAGTTGGGGGCGTCTGGTGCCGTTGCCCGGGCTAGGAGCTTTCCTTCTTCTGCATGGTTCTCCGAAATGAGGGAGGGGGGAACAGCTCCAGATGCTGCGGGGTGGGCACTGGGCAGGGATGCGTGTCTCTTGTTTACGGGGTTCAGGCGTGCGAGGAATTGCGTGGTTCAGACGTGCAAGGGCTGGTTGTGGTGTCTTGCAACGGGGCTCTTCTAAGGGGTGGGAGCGTGCAAAAGATCGTTGCCATGAACGAGAAATGGACTCAGATCTCAGTTACACTCAAGAACGGATGCCCCGTCTCATCCCTCCCTGCCTGAACCCCAAATTCACAACACTCTGCATGTTCCCTACCTGAACCCCAATCTCATCCCTCCATGCCTGAACCCCAAACCTCTCCCACGTCTCTCCCTCCCGCTTCTCGGCCAGAGAATAAAAGCGATGGGAGCGAAAATGGACAAATACACGAGCATTTCTCAAGCTGGCAGGCACCTCTATGTTACCTTCTTGACTTCGGGCAATTTACTCACGAGGAATAACGAGGAATACGTTGTAAAGCGCTGAAGGCTGCAATCTGACCAGTTTGCTCCGGACTAAGTTCCCTTGAACTTAATGGGATTTACTTTGAAATAGGGGTAAATTTCTGCTCTTGGAAGATAGTCATACTGCCATGGCACAACTTGGGGTAAAAAGCCCTCCCACACCCAACAGAATGACCATAGGAGTGTCAGGAGACTCCCCCCCCCAAAAAAAAATCCTCAGAAGGACTCCTGAGTGCAAAATCAGAACATTTGCAGAATGCAAATCGCCAGTTTCTGACAGTTATTCTGTAACTTCAAGAGATGCCAGGATAATCATCCTGCAAACTGTGCAGAAGCCTTTATGAAACCTACTTGCCCTGAAAGGCTGTTTAAGGTAAGGAAGGAGGCTGGTTGCATTGTTTCTGAATTCTCTGAGCCCTCAAAAAGACTCCTGCTGCAAAAAAAATTCCACTGTTCAATGATGTGCTTTGATGGCTTCTTGTCAGATTTGTTCCCAGCTTCCAAGAGTTAGCATTACTTCAAGCAATCTTGGTTAATTCCCAGAAATATCAACTCACGTCTCTCACTTCAGAGAGTAATGTCTCATCTCTCTCTTTCTCATCCATTTATGCATCCATCCATCTGTCTCTCCATCCATCCGACTATCCATCCATTCTACCAACCTACCAACCTACCAACCTACCAACCTACCAACCTACCTACCTACCTACCTACCTACCTACCTACCTACCTACCTACCTACCTACCTACCTACCTACCTACATACATACATACATACATACATACATACATACATACATACATACAGCTACATACCATTTTTTATCCATCCATCTCTTTATCCTGGCTATATGGGCAGTTATAGACTGAAACTGCACTTGGAAGGGATGGGAAAGCCAACTATCTCAGGAGGCCTTGTCTTGGAACCTTCAAAGATGCCGGCTCATTTAGATTTTATGACTGGAACTTGTCTGCCTTCAGAGGAAGAAGCAGGTGTTAACTAGAAGTCACTCCATTTAATTTTAGTGGGCTTGATTTCTGTTGAGCACAGGGTGGCTTTGATCACAGGTCTCTTGCACACATTTTTAATTCTTAACCATTTGTTATTGTTAACATCAAGTCCAAGAAGATGGATACATTCTTTGGAGAAAGGGATGGGGAAGAAGAAACTTCTCTCTCTTTCTTTCTCTCTTTCTTTCTTTCTCTCTTTCTTTCTTTCTTTCTCTCTTTCTTTCTCTCTCTCTCTTTCTCTCCCTTCCCCTCTCTCCCTCTCCCTTTTTTCTTTCTCTGTCTTTCTCACCCCTCTCCCCTTGCTCCTCCCTTCCCCTCTCCCTCTCTCCCTTTCTCTTCCTCTCCCTCTCTCTTCCTCCGTCCCTCCCTCCTTCCTTGAGGATAATTGGGAAGTCACAGTGTGGGTGTGGGTATGTGTTTCTTGTTGATTGTGCTGCTTTTTTGTTGAGGGACCATATAGGTGTGTGAGAGACAGAAATACATGCGCCCAACATGTACAAAAACATAAACTGTGATGCCTCCAGAAAGCCTTTAATACTTTCTACTGGATAAATTTAATGCTGTCACCGGACATAATTTCCCCCTCTCTCTACCTAAGTGCTTTTTTTTTGCTTAGCTATTTGCCAGATCTCCTGGCATTTTAAAATGCACACATACCACCTCGACATTGCTCACCTCTCTTTGATAGGAATGTGCTCAGAATTTTACTGTGGCTCTCTGGAGGGTTGCCAATTTCTGGCCAGCTGCGCAGTTTGCTCCTGTTTAGCCCTGGGGGACCTTTCCAGAGGTTGCAAGTGCTCCTCCCAGGACCTCTTTGCATTCTCAAGATGGTCACACATCTGCTTGCTTACCAGATAAGGGTCTGGGATGAATTTTTTTCTTTCTGATTAGATCCTCTCTGCCTGTTTCCACTGTGGCCACCAAATGACTTTTGCTTAAGTGCCTCTCAGTTGGCCAGAGCAGCAGGAACCCAAATAAAATGCCCTGTCAGATGAAACTTAAATATAACTTGTTTCAAGACATAAGTGAGCAGCTGAGATGGGATGCTAAGCCTTGCTCTTGCTTGGCGAGCTTGAATGTAGCAAGATTGAGGTTTTTTCCCAGATTTCCTGTGAGGAAACCCTCCACCTTTTCCTGCCTCTTCCCCCCCCCCTTTCTTGTCTCATTCTCAAGAGGGAAAAGCTGTATAAATGCAAAGTATTTTTCTTGGTGGTCTGAAGCCGCACCTACGAAGAAGCGAATGTGTTTCTTCGGTGCCATTCTACACAAAAGGGGCTTATGAGGCACCTCATTCCTTTTGCTGTGTGAAAGATTCAACAAGGGTTTTGAAATGTAGCTTTATTCAAATTAAACCGCTTGTTTATTCTCCCGTTGAGTTCTGTTGAACTGAAACCTACAAAGCCATTAAGTAGAAGCAGGCTGGGCATTTTTCTTCTAACTCATCCAGGGAACGTAAAACACCTCTATATATGGAGTGAAAATATTGTCTGTTGACCCAAATACGAGCAGTAGTTATTCTTTGGTTTATCATTCTATTTTCCTGGTGTGTTTTATTAGCTTCCTTCCCGTCTATCAGGGAATGCATGAGTAAGTGTGGATTATGGGCCTCACCATTGGTGTGGCATCCAAACATGTGCAGAGTTGCATGCATGGACACATAAGCTTAATGTTGATTTTTTTGGGGGGGAGGGGGAAGCATGGAGAAAGTGCACCCTGGATGATTATAAGGAATCCTGCAATCGTGATGCATCAGAAGCATAAGCTGAATATTGAGAGAATGGTTGAGTCTTTGTTCCTAGAAAGTCTATGGGGCAACTGTCTTTAACCAAGAGGCTCTTGAACTCTTGGTTAATGGGATGCTGACCATAAAATGGACAAACTCCCCTTCCCAGATCAGGCTGGGTTTTTATCTCTGAATCTTAGAATTGTGAGGGGTTTGTAAAAGACATTCCAAGTGCTATTAATTCAGCAAGAAAGATAAAAATATAAATCTTGCTGTTTTAGTGGGCTTTCTCTCTTACTTTGGGTAAACGCAGCAAAACCTTTAGCACCAATAAAGGAGAATATTTGTACCTCAGGGCTGGAATGAGGGGCCTTAGTGCTCTCTGAGCTTGGTTGCTTTCTTGCAGACATTTAGTACCCAAACTAGGTAACATCGCCAGTGCTAGAAGGGACAGCAAACCTCATTCCCTTTTAGCACTGTTTGAGTAATGAAACATCTGCAAGAAAACAACCAAGAGAACATCAAGGACCTTGTAGTCTTATTCCTCCTCCTCCTTCTCCTCCTCCTGGCAAATCCTTCTCCCTTCTAGCACTGATAATGTTACCTAGTCTGGGTAATGAAACATCTACAAGAAAACAACTAAGAGAATATCAAAGACCTCACAGTCTTCCTCCTCCTCCTCCTCCTCCTCCTCCACCACCTCCTGGCAAATCCTTCCCCCTTCTAG